TGAGATTGGCACAGGATAGAGCAGGGTTTAGGGCTGTTGTACATAGGGTCGCTATGAGTCGCAAGCGACTCGACGGCACATAACAACAAACAACAACAGTTTGGTTTGTCTTCCTGAACTGTCTTTTGAAATCTTTTGTTCACCTCTTTCACTTCAGCATCTCTTCCCTTTGTTTTGGCTTCCTCCGGAAACTCTATGAACTTTGATAAATGTCAATAGTTGTATATGGGCTTCAGGACTTTTGTTCATAGGGTCTCTATGAGTTGTGCTCGACTCGAGGGTAATCAACAACAATACTCAAGTGAAGGTTTCAGGGTCTCTTCTTTTTTTTTTTCAGGGTCTCTTCTGAAATCCATTTTTGGTCTTTTCTTTCTCCTCTGTCTTTTTAGTGACCTTTTCCTCTCTTCATGGATAATAGCCTTGATGTCAATTCACAACTCATGTGGTCTTCAGTCATTGGTGTTCAATGCTTCAAACTTACTCTTTTTTTTTCCCCCAAGCCACACTGTATCCAATTTTATTAAAGATTCTTTTCATAAACAATCATGGTATTTCAGGCAGGACATAGGCAGACAATCATTAACAGTATACAACAACTTCCAAACTTCCTTCTTCAGTGGACTACCAAAATCAGAAAACCACTATAAAACCCAATGAAATCTTTATTTGATGCTCTGAACAGGGAAAGTTTAGAGTGAGGGTTGCCATTTCACATTTAGCATGTTGTTTAATAACTTTTCACAAGCCGACCCTGACTTTCAGAAAAATGAAACAAAAACGGCAGAATTCCCAATCTTAAGATCCACAATCTTTAAAGGGGGGGGGGGAGAAAGAAAGAAACCAGTGCTCTTTTGAGGAATGCTACTCAGTATCATCAGAAAAGTCCAGATTGCCTGACAAAATGGTAATCAATTTCTTGGGGGGAATCAGGTCCACAAGGTCTCTGGATTTATGGGAGTCAAGTCTATGGCAGAAGGCAGAAGGAGAAGAGGACATAAAAACAGTTTTAGTTTTTCCACAACACAAGGCATTTGTGTCAAGTTCTCTAATGTGTGTCAACACCAGAGAATCTTTTCTCCTGACAACCAAGAGGAAGTCTCTCAAAGCTAGAAGGTAAAGGTGTTTTCATTCACGTCAATTCAGCTTCAGAGACATACTATTAATGACATTTGCACCTTCCCCAAAAAACAATGGTGTTCTGTGGGCTAAAAACATAGCTTGAAAAAATTAAAACAAAATTCTGCATTTTTTTAAAACTTGATAAAAATAGTATTTCAAACTGTACAGTCACTAGAAGTACACAGTTATCAAAAATGCACACACTTCACTGGCATCTTCAGCACCTTCAGCTTTCTGTGCCTGGTCTGCTTTGGCATTTCCATTTTCTGCAGTTATTCCCGTCCTTGCCAGCATCAGCCTTCTCCTTTTCCCCTTTGGGTACTTTCTTTCCCTTATTTGCAGGGGCCTTTTTAGGCTTAGGCTCTGGCTTTGGAGGAGCAGGTTTAGCAGATAACCTTGCAGATCTCCTCTGCGGCTCGTCCTTTACCTTGGCTTTATCTCCCTTAACATCTCCTTCAGCCTTTCTCTTGGGCATGGTGGCAACAGCGGCAGGACGCAGCCACTGGACTTGGAGATGCAGCAACGCATAGGCTTGGACCGATGGGGGGGGGGTCGTTCTCGCCTCTTCTTCACACTGTTCCTTATTCTTAAGATGATTTTTAAATTCGGGTAAGATAGACATAAGATAATGTTTTTTATTTTCATGGACTTCCCCCCCCCCATTTTCTTCAGCTTCAATTTGAATTTACACATGAGTATCTGTTCCACAGTCAACACCTGGCCTGGTTTTGACTGCTGATATTGAGCTTCTCCAACAATTTCTTCCACAGATATAGTAAATCTGATTCCTATGTAGTCCACCTGGCGAGGTCCATATAAAAAGTCAATAATTGTGTCTTTTTAAAAAGGTATTTGTAATGAATGTATCACTGAACATACAAAGTTCTATCATTCTATTTCCAACCTCACTTCTGTCATCAAGCTCATGCTTCCTGACTACTTTTCCTTCTTTATTATTTACAACTTTTGCATTCCAGTCAGGAATTATCATTAATGCATCTTGAAGGACTCTTTGGTCCATTTCAGACTGAAAAATGTTATAAAAACCTTCAATTTCCTCCTTTTTTACTTTAGCTGTTGATGCACATATTTGACTTATAGGTGTATTAGCAGGTCTTCCTTGTAATATCCAATCTGTCACAACATTGTTCTTAAGGATAGAACTTGAAATTGTTTTTTAATGAACGAAACAACATTCTTACTCTGTTTTTCATTCCCAGAATAATATACCACGTAATTGTGTGATTCAAAGGGGCCAAAGTCAATCTATTTCACCTCACTAATTTCTAGAAAGTTCATATGCTCCATTTAATTTCTCCCTTCTAGTTTTCTAATTTTAATACTCTGTACATTCCATTTGCCAACTATTAAAGGATGTTTTCACCTATTTCTCCTCATTTTTATTGACTTTCAGTTTGGTTCCCTGAATTTTCTTCTCAATCTGCAAGTTACCTTTTCACTTTGATGAGCAGAAATCCTTTTGTTAAAAAAGCCATTTCATTTTTATTAGATTCCATTTATATATTTTGTCTTCTTTTTACTTTATTTTTTTTTAAATTTTTACTTTCATAAAAAAAGTTTACAGAAAGGCTGGATTTTCATACATTCATTGTGGCACATTTTCCTCCTTCCTCTCATTTATCTATTTTATCTTTTGCTGATCAAACTTGTGTTGGTAAATCTGATACTCCACCAATGCAAAATAGACCCCTCAGTCATATCCTTGCATTTTATTCTGAGAAGTTTAAGGTTTTGGCATTATTAGTTAGTCTTAATCCATTTTTAATTTTTTATATGGTGAAATATGCTAAAAATTATGTTGTTGTTATGTTCCATCGAGCCACTTGTGACTTATAGCAGACCCATGTACAACAGCCCTATACTCTGCTCTACCCTGTGCCAATCTTATTGTCTCCAACACACCTAGCTTCAGTCACTGAATCAATTAATCTCATCAAGGGTCTTCCTCTCTTGTGCTGTCCCTCCACCCTCCCAAGCATGATGTCCCTCTTCAAGGACGGGTTCTTCCTTGGAACATATCCAAAGCATGTCAGTCAGACAAAGTTTCAGAATCCTTGGAGCAGCGTGGTTTCACCCTCTCCAGGATGAACCTGTTTGTTCTCCTAGCTGTCCACGGTAAATTCAATACTCTAGCATCCCCAGGATTCTAAAATTAGAGTTCTCAAAATCTCTTCACCACTCATGGGTAAACTAGTATTTCTCAGAGAGGAGAAGGGTTGAAGTGACTGTAGATAATTGAAAACACACACACACTGACAATTTAGCAAAAACAAGTAAAAAATGTTTATTAGGGCAGTTTCAAAGTTGACTGGGCCCTGACTAAGTCTCCAATTTGGACGCTCATGCATGAAGCAGTTGGAGTTTGGAGGGTAGGTTCTCTTGATTTTGTTGAAAGTCAGGTGTAAACTCTT